TCATTTTGGTTTGAACCCCTGCTGAGAATTTGCATTTCCACCCCAGATGTACTGAATCAGAATCTACATTTTAACAAAATCCCCAGGTGATTCTTATGTACAAGTTGTTAGAAATGTAAATTCTCCACAGGGAGCTTGTTAGAAATGCAGCTTCTCAGCAGGGTTCAAACCTGAAATGAACTGGGTCAGAAATGGACTGGTTGGAATCCCGTTTTGAGAGCCTGAGTGCCCGGGTGCTCTGAGCAGGCAGGAGGCTGTCTGGTTCTACACCCTGGGCAGCTTCAGAGCTCACAGAGGGTGAGCGGCTTTGGGCCAAGTTGAGGGGACCCTCCCAGAACCTTTACAACTTGGCTTTGTTCTGCCTCCGGCCGTGGCTGAGACTGTGGGGTTAGGACGTGAGATGGGTGCCTGGCCTGGGCTGTGTAGGGAGGAGGCTGCTCACCCTGCTGAGGATCTGGGTGGGCCCAGGCTGCCCAGGAGAAGAGGAGTGAGTGATTTCACCAGGGCCGAGGACCCAAGGCTCTGAGCACTGATCCTTTTGATATGGGAAGCGATGTGTGTGTGGGGTTGGGGAGAGAGGAGGGTTTGACAGCCTCCCTGCCCCCACCTGCCCCCATCCCACATACCCACCTTGTGTTGTGATGTCCAAGGCTGCCTCAGCCTGTCTCCTGGCCTCCGCCCTGGCTTCCTCTTTTCAGGGAGGGTGTGTGAGGCACTGAGGGGTACAGGCCGGCCTGAAACGGGCCAAGGAAATTCCTTGACTCTGACCCAGGATGGTTCTGGGGGAGTCTGAGCCTGTGCCCCCTGAGGCCTGGCTAGGTGGCTCCGCTAGCTCAGGGTCCTCGTGTGCTCCCTCTCACCTCTGCTGGCCTCTGAGAAGGTGCTGTAGGCCTCGCCCCTGGGAGTGGTCTCCAGGACAAGGCACTTGCGTTGCTTCAGGGAGGTTTGCTCTTCTCTTTGACAAGCTCATAGAATCTTGCAATGGCTGCCGACTTCCATTCTGGAGCAGGTGCTGACACCTTCTGCAGGGCGGAATGAAAGGCAGCGGCATTGTTTGTAGCTGAAGGCAGGCTCCGGCGCTGGAAATTGATGGTGACTGCTGTAATTTGGCCCCATTACTTATTCATTAACTGCATGCAGGTGGTCAGCAGCCAGCAAGACCTGCTCTTTGAAATTTTATTTTCTAGAGGGCCTCGTCATGTCTGCATGGTACGGCAGTAATTTAATGCCTCTTTCCCGCAGGAGGCCACGTGCAGGGTGTTGGCACCCACCGAGGAGTGAGCAGGCATCGGCTCTGACCCTGACTTCTTGGAAAGGTCTCCTCTAACTCATCCTGGGCCCAGCTGTGGACAGCGAAGGCCTGCAGGGGCTGGGTCTCCTCTAACTCATGCTGGGCCCAGCTGTGGACGGCGAAGGCCTGCAGGGGCTGGGTCTCCTCTAACTCATGCTGGGCCCAGCTGTGGACAGCGAAGGCCTGCTCGGGCTGGGTGCCTGGAGGCTGGCCTCATTCGGGGACACGACCTCCTTTGAGTCTGTGCTTTCTCTCCTTTCATGCCAAAGTTGCCCCTTCCACTTGAAGGGAGAGTTTTGGGGGTAAGATAGGCTTCCCTGCTGGCCAGTCCTGGTCGCTGGCTCGAGGGCATCCTCTCCTGATCTAGTTGTTTCTACTTGGCTCTCCTGTATGAGGGGACCTGGCATGAGCTGCCCCTGCTGGACCCCAGACTCCAGGCAGGGCAGGATGCAGGCCCTCCCAGCAGCCACCTCAGCCCTGGCCAGTCTGGCCCTCCAGCAGGCCCAGTGACCTTTTCAGCCAGCCTTGCAGGGCTCTTGTGGACATGCCGCTCATTCTCCTGCCAGCCCCTTCCAAGGTGTGGCTGCTAAGCCTTCAGTGCTGATTTGATGTGGCGGTCTGCACACTTATCCACAAGGGTGATATTTAAATGATTTTTACTCTAATTAGCCCCCAAAACATGAAAAATAAGCACTATTCAAGGTTAGTTATCTCTGCCCTTCTAAAAAGAATGAAATGCAAAGTGATAGAGAAGATGCTCACAGCTTTTCAGGTTTTGTCTGTCAAATGGTTATTCCCGATGAGAAGCAGGCCTGCCACTAGGGACGTGACTTTTGACCTTCAAGGCCCAGCTGTGGTCTGGCCGAACTGTGTCATCTGGCCTTCGGTGAGGAGGGCAGGCACCTCCTGGGCAGAGGGCATTTGGTGGGGCCTGTGCTCACTCCCCCGGACACTGGGGCAGCAGCAGCAGGGTCTCCTGTGGGCTGGTCGGCATATGCCCCTCCTTGGCTCCTTGTGGTGAGGGGAATGGTGAGTGGGCAGGGGCACGCACAGCCCTGGGACCACCCACAGACCACAACTCCCTTGTTTTCACCTCCTCTTTGCCTCCCCTCCTCCCGTCTCCTCTGGCTCCACATTTAGACCATGACCTCAAGCTTACTGTCTTTCTGCAAATAACGCACCTATGTAAATAACACGCACACACATATAATGTGCGGAAATTGGCATAGTGTGCTTCAGAAAATAAGTGCGGAGGGTTGGCAGAAAAGAAGCTGCATAATGCGCATGTTATTTGCATAAAAACATGGTACATGGAGATGTTCTGGGCCTCAAGTCTCCTAAGCGTGATGAGGCCTCACCGCCCAGACTTCTTGGGCAGTGACAGTGGTGACACATTGCCTAGTGGCTTCCTTGCCAGGACGGTTTGGGTGAGCTGGGAGGTTTAGGGCATCCTACAGAAGTGGGGAGGGCAGTGTTGGTGCCCCGGTAGAATTCTTGCCTTCCATACAGGAGACCCAGGTTTGATTCCGGCCTCTGCACCTCAGGTGCAGCCACCAGTCTCTGTCACTGGTGGTTCGTGTGTTGCTGTGATGCTGAATAGGTTTCAGTGGAGCTTTTAGACCGGGACAGACTAGGAAGAAAGGCCTGGTGATCTACTTCAGAAATCAGCCAGTGAATCACAACAGCCCAGTCTGGCTGTGCATGGGGTCACTGTGAGTCAGGGGCCAATGTGGTAGCAGCTAACAACATAGAAGTGAATAGGCCAGGTGCCCATGTTAATGGCCAAGCTGCATCTCCGTACGGGGGCATCAAAGCTGGCCTCAAAAGCTGGTCCTCTGCGGTCCCCAGATCTGCTGGGAGTGTGCGTTCCAGGCATGTCACAGCTGGTGGTGGTGAAATGACTGAGGACCAGAGGATGTTGGGGCATCTGTCCTGGAGCTGGGACTGGAGCTGGGGAGTCAGAGTGGGCACGCTGATGGCGCCTAGACACACGTTTCACTGATGGCCCCGCCTCTTGCTTTTCTGGCCTGTGCTTTTGTGCATGGCTGCAGGGTAAACTCGGTGCTGAGAAGGTCACCGCTCAGTAGTAAGGGTCTGCAGGCTCTGGTCATACTCCCTGGAACTGGTGCTTCCAGAGGCCCGGTGAGGTGCTCGTCAATAGATGCTTTGTTAGTAGGCCAGACTTTGGCCATTTAACTTTCGAGTCCTGTCTCAAACAAGAATGAATGTGGCTGAACTGTACAAATTTAGTTAACGGTAGGAGCTTGACACCCAGTGCACTTCAGAGAAGCCAAAAGGGAGATAAAGCCAAAGAGCTTTTGGGGCTGTATTAAACAGTCCTAGTGAGACCAGGGGAGTCCTGGTGGCGTAGTGAATTAAGAGCTGGGCTGCTAACCAAAAGGTCAGCAGTTCAGATCCACCAGCTGCTCCTTGGAAACCCTGTGGGGCAGTTCTACTGTCCTATTGTGTCGCTGTGAGTCAGAACCGGTGAGTGGGAACAAGTGAGACCAGAGTCTCCCCATCCTGCAGCTGGGTTTCCTAGCTGAGCTCTGCTTGTTGCATGTAGCTGTGAGCTCCCTGCTGCTGCTGCCGCCAGCCACCCACCCATCTGCCCCCAGGCTCCTGTGGTCGTGCCCCTGTCCACAGTCTGCTTCAGGATGCTTGTTTAGGTGGAGAGGGAGGTGGCGGAGGCTCAGAAAGGAGCGGGCTCTGTTTCCTGGGCAGCAATGCTGCAGAGAACGAGAGTGGCATATGGCATGCCGACAAGGGACCTCGTGCTTCAAGAAAGTCATTTCCAAGTCCCTAAGTCCTCTCACGGCCCTGTTCTCTCTGGGCCTCCCCAGGCACATCGTTCTCTGCACATACACCCCCCTCCCCCAATCAGCTGCTCACCCCTCGAGAGCCCGGGGAGCACAATGTGAAAACCATCTGCTGTTTTTTCTGAGGCCTCTTGTGGCTCGAACACCCGGTGACTATAATAATACAAGACCGTAGACAGGCCGGGGTGGGGATGGCACGTGTGTGTGTCATTGGTGTTGGCTCTGGATACCTTCCCCCATTCAGTAAGTGTCCCTCCTCATGTAAGTTCTGTCACCAGCAGTGACACTGACTCATCTGCCCACCAAAGAGACTGGGTGGGGGACAGCAGCTTGCTGGATCCAGGCTGGGGCCCGCCTGGCACAGCTGTGAGCCCTCTGCAAGTGGGGGAGGGCGTCTGACCTCGCCTGCTTTGTCTTCTCGGGCTGCTTTTTCTGATATGACGAGTAAACGTGAATTTTTCTCATCACGTTGAGCAAGATTGATATTGACTGCTTTAAAATGTTAATTCATCTTTTAACTTCCTTTTAAAGAGGCTCTATTTCGGGCTGGGAAGCAGCTCATCCCATGTCCCAGAGGGTGGGGCACACTGGCTGGCTTCCTGGTGGGCTCTGCTGGCTTTGGAGGGAGATGACTAGGGAGCTTGTCCGTAGCTACTTGTCACCGGCTGTCAGGGTCACAGGCTGGAAGCAGGAGTGAGTGGAGGTTGGCTGAGGTCACGCAGTGGCCCAGTGACCTTTGACCTCTGAGTTTGTGTTGGGCAGGCCCACTCAGTGCTGGCCATGGTAGGGGTGGGCCTGCCGCTGCATCATCTGGACTTGGCGGCGGGAAGGTGGCCTGTGCTGAGCTATTGCCGAACGCTGACCTGGCACTCCTTGTGTTTCTCTTTGAGGATCCATTCCAAGGAGCACTTCAAGGAGAAGTATGCCGTGGACGACGTCTGGTACACGGACGAGGTAAGCAGCAGCTCAGGGCTTCCAGTGACCCACCCCCCCCAGGTTCTCTCTGTTCCCCACTGCCTTGCTCGGCCCTTCGGGAGCGCCCTTGTTTGGAAGCAGCAGCAGACCTGCACCGCAGACCTCTCTGAGGAGGCCATTTTGCCTGGGCAGTGCCCCTGACTTAGTAGAAGTGACCTGGCTGGTGGCTGCTGAGATGTGCAGTGAGAGGTGGGCCTGCCTGCAGCAGGGGCCAAAGAGCTGATCCAGGTCACCCCAGGCCTGGGCCTTCTGTGTGCTGTGAGTGGGGCTTCAAACCAGTTCATTCCACTTTGACCCCCTGTGTAGAATTTCCATTTCCACCCCAGATACACTGAATCAGAATCTACATTTTAACAAGATCCCCAGGTGATTCTTATACATAAGATTCACCTGGGGATCTTGTTAAAGTCTTAATGGCTACATAAGAATCACCTGGGGATCTTGTTAAAATTTTTATGTATACATAAGAATCACCTGGGTAGCTTGTTAAAATTCTTGTGTATAAGAATCACCTGGGAATCTTGTTAAATGTAGATTCTGATTCAGTACATCTGGTGTAGAAATGGAACTTCTTAGCAGGGGGTCAAACCAGAACAAACTGGTTTGAAGCCCTGGCTGCGAGGCCCTTGCGGCCTACCGGTACTGCTGTCTGAAAAGCCTCTGAAGGCCTGTGGGGTGAGGTGGACTTGGGGGGATCACTTGGCATTAATCCACTTCCCAGTTTAGTTGCCCAGTGGGTGTTAGGTGCCCTGGGTAGATGTGTGAGTGTCCTCCTGGGGCCTTGGATCTGCCCTGAATCCAGGCTGGTGAAAGGGCTATGAAATCTAGAGGGGGCAGCCTTGGACCTGCCTCAGTCAGGGACTCTGGCCCACCAAATCAGAGCCCTTTCTGTGTCTCAGCCTCCCTAGCTGCTGTCTGACATTTTTTGTTTTTATAACTGGGGTAAAACCCAGCTTCATTATACAGTGACTTGGCAGGAGAGGAAGGAGAACCTGGACCCAGGTAAACTGGTCTCTAAATGTGGGAAGCTAGAGGAGGTCTGGAGTACCAGACAGGAAAGTCCTTAACGGCGGTGTAGAATCACAACCACACAGCCCAGCTCATGCTGCACCTTCATTTATAAGCAGAATCTTAAAGGAAGGCTTCAGCGGAGTTCAAAGGACAGACTATCTTAGAGTTCAGGGCTTTCTGCAGCACTCCATCATCAGCATTGTCATTGATCGATTTTCCTGTTATTGTCACTGCTGTTCTTGTTGGAAATGAGGGCTCTTGTTGACAGTGGGACAGGTGCTTACTTTGTGCAGCCGTGGGTCCCAGTAACATCTATAGCTCACATGGGATTCCCACCCAAGTCCCAGGATGCGGCACAGTTATCACCCCATTTACTGACGGGGATGCCGAGGCTGTGAGGTCAGTGGCAGCTGGGCTGCAGCCCCAGGACCTTTGAACCCCAAAGTCCCTGCCCTGGACCCCTGCACTTGTCCTATCAGAAATGCAGGACACTTCTGTGGAGGTGACACGGGCTCCCAAGTACCTTTAATTTTCTGTGACTTGAAATGGAGCTTCCAACAAGTGAACATTGCTGGACTGAACCACCTGGGCTGGGAGGGGTTTCCCAGTTGCTCGAGGTAGCTAGGGTCACTTGATCACAGAAGGTGACAGGAAGCTCCTTAGGGGGAAGGGTTCTCCAGGCTAGTTCTATAGTACTTAGTCCTCTAACTGCAGGTGGCTTCTGGCCATCTGTGACAAATCACAAACAAGAAACAGCTGACACAAAGTGTCCTTGGAAACAAGGCAGCAATGCCGGCCTTAGGCCATGGATGGTCACTCGATATTACATGTAAAATGTAGGTGTCTTGATGTAGCAAACCTGGTTATCTAGTTCCCCCTCCCCGCCCTGTGGATGATCCTGAATTTAATTATTGAGAAGGCAGAGCAAACAGTGGTCTCCTGAGAAGGGTCAGTACAGCGATGAAGGCCCCTGCTGCTCGGCCTCGTTGTGGAGAGGCATCAGGGAGTGGTGGAGACTGCTGTGGGACCAGGGAGGGCTCACACCTCCTCTGAAGGGGCAGCTGCTTTGCCAGACTGGTGGCCCAGGGTTGCGAGATATTCTGATTGTTCAAGAGTAGCTGCAAATCCAGATTGTTTGTGATGTTTCTTGAGCTTAAATTGTAGAAACAAATTGCAGATTTTTAAAAGGATTGCAGGCAAAGGAAAGCCCGTCTTTGGGCCAGATTTGACCCGTGAGTTCCCTGTATGCACTGCTGTTTAAGGAGACTGCCGTGGAAAGACTTGTTTTCGAAAGCTTAGGTTCTTGCAGGGGTCAAGCCCAGCCAGCTGGAGCAGTGCTGGCTTTCACATGGCGCTGGTGAAGGAAGGTCCAGCCTCTTCTCTGCATCTTCACCCCAAGACTGGGTACCCTTTGAGGGGCCTGCGGCCCTGGGTGGGGCCTGGTTCTGCAAGCACACGAGAAGTCCACAGGAAGCCTTTGATCCTCCCAGGAGGCGGAGCACACCCACCCTCAAGTGTCTGATGAATTTTGCGTGTGCCCCGTCCATGAGGCAGGACTGCCCAGGAAATCTATGCTGGCCGTGGCGTCAAGCAAGGCAGGGGCATTTAACAGCACTGGTTTGTGAGAGCTGGTGGGTCCCCAGCGACCACACTCCATGGAAATGAGGTCCTGGGTTGAGAGATCCGTGCCATGATGTGTGCTGGGGCTGCACGTGAGCTGGCAACACACAGCTGCATCGTGTTCCCTTAATTTTTGAGGCCCAGAATCAGGGTGTGCTGATGATGTAGCACTAATGGGTCTCCGTGGGGAAGGGAGGATGGAGCTGCCAGGCTGAGGGAGGCTTTGCAGCCGCAGAGGTAACCCGGGGCCCACTCAAGCAGTTGTGATCAATAAAAGATGCAGCCCTGCCAGGAATAGCAGACGTGTAGCCCGCGCTGCCAGTCAGGCTCCATCCGTCTGTGTGTCAGGCAGCTTGTGCGTCAGGCAGCAGAGCTCAGAGGGCTGCTTTCTCCTCCATTATTCCTAAGCAGCACGTCCTGAGAGCTGCTGCAGAGAGAAAAACCATCAGCCCGAGCATTTGTTATCCTGCTCCTCTCTCCCAAGGACAGTAGCAGATGCAATCCCCAAGTGCCTTCTCGCTCTCTGATTCTGCTGCTGTAATTGACATTGTGTGCTGATGAGCGTAGAGTCTACACGTCAACCTCACAGCTCCCAGGGCCCAGCACAGGCGGCTCTCCTTCCTTTTAATGAGCCTCCCCATCCTCCAGGAGGGGCCGCGGAGGAGAGGGCCTCAGCCAGGCCTTTAACTTGTAGAACACAGAGGCGGAGGAATTCAGCCATTCTCAAAGCAGTTCCTGGGTAAATCAGGGAGGGCTCCAGGGCAGAGGGTGGTCACTACATATCCAGAGGACCCTCTGGCCGTGAGCATCAGAAACCTGACAGAGTACATGGTTTTTGACCCAGCAGCCCCACTGGGTCAGATTTTATTTTTTTCCTAATTTATTGTGGTAAAATATATGTAGGAGTCCCTGAGTGGCACGGATGGTTAAAGTGCTGGACTGCTAACTGAAAGGCAGCAGTTCAAACCCACCCAGAGGTGTCTCCAAAATAAAGGCCTGGCGATCTGCTTCTGAAACGTCACAGCCTTGAAAACCCCATGGAGCAGTTCTACCCTGTCATACTTGGGGATCACCATGAGTTGAAATCGACTCAGTGGCAACAGCAAAATATATGTAACAAAATTGACCATTTTAGCCATTTTTAAGCACAGAAGTAAGTGACATAGTTACACCCACCACCTTCTGCAGCTATCACCGCTGTTTCCGGAAGTTTGTGATCACACTGAGCAGACACTCTGTGCCCCTTGAGCAATACCTTCCTGTTTCCTTCTTCCCCCAGCCCCTAGTAACCACTAATAAACTGGAGTCCTCATGCATTTGCCTATTTTAGATATTTCTTGTAAGTGGGATCATATAATACGTGTTCTTTTATGTCTGGCTTATTAATTTTTTTTTAAGGAAGTAATATTTTGTAAGGAATTTTAAGATGACCAAAGCCTTATATACAAAGATATTCATTCTAGCATTATTTATAATGGCTAATCATTAGAAGTAACTTAAGTGTCCAATAGGAGAATGAATAAATTGTGTATATCTGCTAAGAGAGGTTGTTATACAGCCATAGGTTCAAATCCGTGCTTTGCTATTTTGTAATTGAATTTGGGCAAGTTAGGTAATCCATAAACCTTTCTCATTTGTGAGATCTGGATGATTGTAGCACCGCCTTCCTGGGTGATGAAGTGAAATGTGTGGCAAGTACTGACACAGGCCCTTGACCGAGGACTTGTTGGATGTTTACCATCCCCAGCGGTAGTGATGGCTAAAAATTGCGTGTTTGAAGAATATTTAATGACAGGAAATAAGTGAAGCATATAACTTCATATAATCCAAATGTCATTATAGATCTGTTTTTATATGCAGATATAAAAAGACCAGCAGGAAATATTATTAAAATGTTAACAGTGATTGTCTCTACGGGTGAGTGGAGTTGTAGGCCTCTTTGATCTTTTTGTTTTTTGGTTCAGGTTTATGTTGTGTTTTGAGAGTCTGGTCATGTTCAAACAGACATAGCTCTAGAAACATCAGCTCTGGTATATACAGACAGTCCCTGGTTTACAGCGGGGTTCTATTCTGACAACTCTGTTGCAAGTCAGTTCCGATATAAGTTGAATACCTCAATTTTTTAGTTTTCATTATTATTACCATAGTCTGCTATATGGCAGTGTTTTGAACAGTAAATCATGACTTTGAACATCTGAGAGTAACATCAGCAAATTACATTTTGCACGATTGTATGTAGTACATATTACTAACCATAGAAAAAAATCCATTGCCGTCAAGTCGATTCCGACTCATAGCAACCCTACAAGACAGAGTAGAACTGCCCCATAGGGCTTCCAAGGAGCAGCTGGTGGATTCGAACTACCCACCTTTTGGTTAGCAGCTGTAGCTCTTAACCACTACACCATGATAAGATACACACACAAAAATAGTCCTAAGGGCGGTTCATTGTAACTCGAATACATTGTATGTCGGGACTACCTGTATAACACTCAAATTTGCACAGGACTCTCAAATCCACAGAGCCCTGGTGGCATAGTGGTTAAGACCTCAGCTGCTAACAAAAAGGTTGGCAGTTCAAATCCACGAGCTGTTTTCTGGAAACCCTGTGGGGACGTTCTACTCTGTCCTATAGGATCGCCGTAAGTTGGAATCAGCTCGATGGCAACGGGTTTGGTGTTTGTTTGTTCTTTTTTTTGGTTTTCAAATCCATTAAAAATGAAATGTTTTATCTCTTTATAGTTTTCAACATATTCCAGGTTTTCTCAAGGAGTATCTCAGGCATAAAAAGCATATGCATATATGTCAAAACTTTTCAAAGCATGTGTTTTAAGTGTGTGCAGTTTAGCGTATGACACTTATACCTCAAGAAGTACGTGAAAACAACAACAGATCTCCTTACTGTCCCACTATGCAGAGGGTGTTAAGAGTCTGGGGTGGGGGATGTGGGGAGTGGGAGGGCTGCAGAGAGAGACTGGTCTCTGCTGGGGGAATGGGGCCGGTGGCATAAGCCTCAGAAACAGTAGGGTCTGCAGTAACCAGGATGCAGAGCAGACTAGGGTGGGGTCAAGAGAGGAGGAAATTGCTTCTCACCAGGGTGGTTGGCCATGTTTGGGGGGCAGGTGTCACGGGCCAGTACTGTTTGGTGGGGGGTGGAGTTAGAGGAAGGAGGGCGTGAACCTGCGCAGGGAGCTTGGTCCTGAGTAGAAGGTTAGGAAGTGGCAAAGATGGGGAGACGGTGCCCCAGGCAGAGGCGTGCACATGGCACGGCCATGTGAGGGGCTGGGGTGGGGAGCAGCTGCAGGCATTAAGGGCCGGGGGGATGAGGTGGGAGGGCCATGGCAGAATGATGGAGAGCGGGGGCGTGGGGTGGGGGCCAGAGGACGGCTGATGCCACAGGGACTAAGAGATGAACTGGGGGAGCACAAGATAGGGAGGCAAAAGGGAAGGAAGGATGCTGTTGAGGCATCTGCCCGGTGGATGGGAGGCTGGTGGGGATCAGTGCCTAAGGGGCTGTCAGGGGACAGGTCTTTCTGGAAGGCTGGCCTTAGAAGTCGGAGGGCCTGGATGTTTGGAGCCAGGAATCTATGTGGTGCGTGGCGGCAGGTGGGGGATTGTGGGAAGTTTTGGGTTTGAACCCTGTGCTGCCGTTGATAGCTGGGTAACTTTAGACATCCTTAACCTGTAAGCCTCAGTTTCCTCACCTGCAGGATGGGGACAGCAGCGCTGCCTGTTTTAAGGACGTGCTCGGTAAACGTGAGTGTTTTTACTGAGTAACATACTAGTGTCTGGTCTCCATCAGACTTCTTTGTGGACGCTCTAAAGTGGATTTTTCTTTCTGACCTTTCAGATTGCCACTGTCCTGACGTCACAGAGCCCCTCTGTCCTCCTCACTCTGGTAAGTGGCTGGCGTCCATGGGAAAGCACAGGGGAGAGAGTTAGGGGGCATCCTGGCCCTGCAGAGGTCAGGGTCGTGGGGGAGGATTGAGAACCGAGGGGAGGAGTATGCAGTTCCTCTTCCAGCCACTAACACATGGTTTCCATAACAAGTAGCGACCCTTCTTAGCCAGAGCAGCAGAACATGTCCAGGACCATGTTGTCAATTCTTGGTCCCCCTGGGATGGGCTGTGTCCTGTTACAAGGCTACGATGACACACACCACACCCAATCCAAAGGTTCAGACCCTGGGCTGGAAGATGTAGTTGTTTCAAGTTGAACCAGTGGGGTTTGTGGATGTAGAATGTCCGTTTACTTCTAAGCCACATCTTCTCCATTGTTAATGCAATTTAAAAACACGCCCCTGGCTCCTGCCCCGAGATAGCAGGGCTGTGAGGCCCCAGAGTTTGAACCTGGGGCAGTGAATGACAGAGGGCCCCTCCTGGCCCACAGCCTGGCAGGTGGGTCTGCGTGGTGGGCTGCTGGGCCCGTCAGGGCTGGAGGGGCATTCGGGCTGAGAAATGACTCACAGAGGCATGCTTTCTCGCCCTTTTTTGACCTTGGGAGTTTCAAATATGAAGAGTATATCATTCTCCCCCTGCAGAGTAACCCTGTCTCCCTTGTTAATCGATTTTTCCAGAAATAGTTTTCCCTGGTTGTTTTTTAGCCCTTTACACAGTCTTTTTTCCGCTCTGCTGTTTTGATGGCTGGGAAGGAAAGCTGTGCCAGATGATTGTGGTTAGAGAGGGTCTAATGTGTTTTATTTGGTTATGCAAGTAGACATCGACATGAAGTTCTTGAGGAATAAGTGGAGGTTTAAAACGCCTTGCCTCTCTGAGATGGCATGCTGTCCCCTGCCTCCCTCGTTTTGTCTCCACACTGGCCTGAGTTCCTTGCAGAGTCTCCCCACAGTTAGGAAAAGGAGAGGAATGTGATAGAGTGTGGTGGAGTCTCTCTGAGAAGGCCCACCCTGCCTGCAAGGGGTCTGACCTGCGTCTCTGGAAGGACTGGATCTGACAGTACTCTTCAGAGCTAGTAATGCTAGTGGCTGGTACAGATGGTTAATGCGCTTGGCTGCTAACTGAAAGGTTGGTGGTTTGAGTCCACCGAGAGGTGCCTTGGAAGAAAGGCCTGGTGATCTACTCTGAAAAATCAGCCACTGAGAACCCTGCGTAGCACATTTCTACCCTGATGCACATGAGGTCATCATGAGTTGGAATCGACTCCGTGACAACTGGTGTTTAACGTTGGTGTGTGCGTGCGAGAGAAGATGGGGCCAGCATTGGGGGAGCAGCTTTGTAGGGGGGTCCCTGGTCTGCAGCTCTTCACCCGGGCCCCACCTGTGTCCGAGCAGCCTGACCTGGTGCCAGCGAGTGCCCTGACCATCCAGGGAGGGAGGCTTGGGGTGCACCTGGGACGCTGTTTGTGGTACCCCTGCTTCTTCCTCTTTCCAGGCTGTGACATGATGTTTGTCCCTGAAGGAGAGGAGGGCCTGCATGAGCATTGAACACCGCTTGCCGCGGAGTCGGTTGCAACTCATGGAGACCCCTTGTGTGTCAGAGTTGAAATGTGCTCCATAGGGTTTTCAATGGCTGATTTTTTGGAGTAGATCACCAGGCCTTTCTTCCAAGGCACCTCTGGGTGGACTCGAACCACCAACCTTTCAGTTAGCAGCTGAGTGCATTAACCATCTGTACTACCCACGAGCATTACTAGCATGGAGTTACCTGGCTTGTCAGGGAAAGGTGAGGGGTGGGTCTGCCGACTGGGGCGGGGTCCTAGCCTGGCAGGTGGCCGCCCCCCTGAACAGGCCATGCTCTCACGTTCCCTCTCTCTTCCCAGCGCGGCGTCAACACGGACAGCAGCAGTGTCTGCAGGGAGGCCTCCTTCGAGGGCATCAGCAAGTGAGTCCCGGGCCCCCAGGGCTGGCACTCTCCAGCCCTGGCTCACCCCGTCACCAGCAGGTCTTCCCAGTCCACAAACTCGGTGTGAAACATGCATGCATGCGCGCACTTAGGTTGAGCGTTTTGAAGAATATTTTTTGCTTTAAGTTGCTGCAGTTTTTACCTTCAGGAAGGGATGCCTCTCTTCTTGCTCCCTGTGGTGAAAGTGCAGGCCCTGCTAGATGGTTGGGGAGCCCTGGCTGACCAGGTGCAGGCCCTGCTGAGTGTTTGGGGAGTCCTGGCTGACCAGGTGCAGGCAGGTGGCTGTTACTCTCTGGAGACCTGCTCTGAGTGCTGTGGTCTTCGTCCTTAACACACCCTTTGACATGCAGCCCCTTCCCCTTAGTCCTAGTCACTGACCTCTCCCAGCGCGGCTCTCAATGCCTTTCCCTTGGTCTCTGCAACTCAGCTCCAGGCGGAGCCCCTAAACCCTGTTTGGGAAGGAGTTCTTCCTTCCAGGTCTCTCCAGGCAGGAGGGCAGATGTTGGGCACAGGGAGAGAGGCAGCTCACCCTCCTTGCCGCCCCGCATGCCGTGGCCCCTGGAGAGTGCTGCCTGCCAGGCACCCATGTCCCCGGGCTGGCTGGTCCCTGCCTGGGGGTCTGTGGACCCTGCATTGCTGGGCTGACGAGCCCTTAGGGGAAACACCTGCTCCCTGAGGTGCTCCCAGCCTGTCCTCCCTGAACCTAGATACTCAGTCCCACCCCCACCAGGATACCCTGCAGCTGCTGTGTCCCCGGTCGTCCTTTGGTGGGCCTGACGAGGAAGTGCCTTATAATTATGTATGAGCCTGAGCCTCAGGAATTGGGCCCCTGTGTGATATAGGGGTGATTGGGAAGGATTATGAGCTCATAAATATGTATCACCTCCCCCAATGATAAGAGCGAGGGGGCCGGGGGGAGGCGGGCTGAGTCTCAGGTTTGCGCCTTTTCGTTGTACAAATCTCTGCATTCTCTCTGGAGCTTTCCTAGGGTGGCCAGGCTTCCCACACCTGTGGTGATTAGCCCAGCTTGTTGAAATGCTGCCCGTGGGGCCATTGTCTCTTCCCAGGGGCTGGGGGGATGAGGGCCACAGCTGGCTGTTCCCTGTCCCGGGCTGGACCCCCCCCCCACGTGCCTCCAGCACTGCCTGATGCCCTGCTCACCTCCGCCCCTGAATTCTGCCACCAGCACCATGGAATGTCTCCGCGGTTCTGTGGGGGCCACCCCCTTACCAGTCTCTGCTTGGGATTTTGCCTTGTGGGGCGGACACTGAGCTGGAGGTGGGAGCCCGGGTGGCCGCCTCACTGTCAGGCCCTGTGGCCTTGGCAGGTCACTTCCCCTCTGAGCCTCAGCTCCCCTGCGTGTGACGTGGTGCCACTGGGCCTTGCTGTGAGGACTAAATGCGGTCACACTCACCCAGAACCTGGCCCAGAGCTGGCACTTCGTAAACAGTTGCCCACAAGCCAACCCCTGATGACGTCCCAGCGCCTCGCTGGGCCTCAGTTACCCGTTGTGCAGGGGGCCAGGTGGATGCCAGGATCCCTGATTACAGGATTCCTGGGTGTCAGTGAGCTGTGGGGCTACTGGCTAGGGATCCTTTGCGTGCCCTCCTCCAGACACTTCCACTGCAGAGTGTCCTCTCAGACCCCCAGGGCCAGGTCGGTGGGGGAGCCGCCGGCGTGGTTCAGGAACGTGGGCCCTGTAAGCAGAGCCCTGCTGTCTGCTTTGCAGGAGAGGCCAGTGGGCCCCCAGGGACAGCATTACCGCCTTCGGGGCAGCAGGAAGCTGAGGTTTCATCCCACCCCACTGGAGTGTTCACCCCTGTGAACTCCAACTTCTTCCCCGTCTCTGTCTACTGTCCCTCTTCTGAGCCCCGGAGGCCCCTGCCAAGAGCCCAGAGGCGCCTGTGCTCTGCCAAACCCCCACCCAGGGCCTCATTTGAAAAGCTGTTTTGGAGAGCCAGAGGCTGCCGGCTGCCCGTAAGTTTGAACAATCCCCCCAGGCACCAGGCTGGTACCTCTCTGGCCTGTGATCCAGTCCAGCGAGGGGCTGACTTCGACGTGCTCGCCAGGCCCCTCAGTTGAGAGAGTGTCCCTTTGTGTGTGAGTCGGAGGCATTGAGTTCCCACAGCCACATGGTGGGCTGCTGGCTGATTTTTCTAACTTTGCCGACATGCTGCAAGTGGGAGCCCTCCCACATGTCTCTTTGCTTTGGGGTCCCCTGGGCTGCTTGTGGTGCTCTTCACTCCCCCTTGTCCCTGGGGGGCTTGTCCCCTCATGCTTCACTCTGGACCCCATCCCACCATGTCGCCCTTTCTGTACCTCTGATCTGAGGGTTGCCTCATTGGGGCAGGAGCCTGTGGTGGACGGCCATGCCCCCACCCTGCAGACCATGGGTGCTGACCTTGGGGCCCCGCCTCTGCCTTTAGCTGCCCTCCAGCTCCTTCCCGCTAGAGATCATTCACAGTCATGTCCGTATTCCTGGAGTCTGGGTGCCTGCCACCCACCTACGCTGCAGCACCTCGACTCTGCCACCTCCTGTGTTCTGTGCTGGGCTGGAGAGAGACCTTGTCCTCCAGGGCCACTGCGGCTCAGCCAACCACATCCACCTGCTGGCCATGAGCGTCTCCAGCTGTTTGCTGGGGATAATAATAGCCTGTTTCCTAAGCAAGATGAATCTCCTGTCCTACTTTCTAATGCTCAGCTGCTCTTGTCCCTGGCCACTCTGACTGCCCTGATGAAACTCCTTACTTCCTGGAGTTTTTAAACTGTTTGGAACTTCTCAGAAACACCTCCCATCTGCGTCTTTGGTTGACCTCCAGCTTTTAACAGAAGAAGTTCAGGTTTGGCCTCTGTGTATCCTCACGGGCCATCCCAGGCTGCCTTGACCTGAAGGGAGAGAGAGCCTTGTGGTGGAATGGTGGCCTCACCTATCCACCCAGGTAGTCAGCCTGCGACCTTCTCTCCAAATATGGCTTCTCGGGGTTGTCTGCCTGCTGCATTTGGGCTCAGCCTTGCGAGGCTGTGAGTTTGGTCCTGGGAGAGCCAGGCCCTCCCTTCTGGCCTCGGGCCTCCCTCAGCCTTCCCAGATCCAGCCACGTGGGGAGCAGGCAGCGTGCCAGGTCTTGTAGTGGTGGGGACAGTGGTGGACTGGGGGCTGAGGGAGCAGGGAGGCAGAGATGGTGGGGTGCCAGGCCTGGGAGGCACGAGGGATCCCCCATGGCCTGAGGTCCCTGGGCCCATCAAGGGGCGTGGCCATGTTTTCCCTGGGGAACCCGGGGTGGAATTATGATCGCGTGATACAGGCAGGTAGGGATAGTGTGCCCCTGGCCTGGTGCTGACTTTGGAGTCTGGCCCTGGCTGTGTCCCTGTGTCTGACCTGACTGGAGTAGGGACAGTTCACAGTGAAGGTGTTTTGGAGGCGCCAGGCTGGATGTGCGCCCTGGTGGGGGGTGGGGTCAGACGCTCCTTGTCAGGTCCTGGTGAGGGAATGGTGGAAGGGCTGGGCTGGGTGCCGGGGGCCAGGGGAAGGTGAGATGGGGAGGGTAGCTCTGGAGTAAAGGCACTAAAGCTGCTGGGTGGGAGTAGAGTCATACCTGATAAATCTTCATTAGCATCCAAGGAGGTAGCTTTTAGAGCACGTTTTCCTGAGAGACACTGACTATGAAGGGAAAGAGGTAGTCTGTGGGGGCCAGGCGGCTGAGCCTAGGACCCGCTGCCATCAAGTTTGCAGAGCTTGAGTGGCGGTCCCTCCTGGCAGGAGACAGTTCCCTCCAAAACAGGAGGAATCTGTGCCCAGGAGCCCGGGGCCAGGGCTGTGCGTTACAGAGGACTCTGACTCATGCGGTTCTGAGAGAGAGAAATACAGGCGATATTTCACATCAGCTGGTTATTCAGGATGAGTAGATTTCTTATCTTCTGGCATTTACTTAAATTGCCTTGCATATTTGAAGACAATTGGTGACAAATTAATTCTGTTTAAATTAGCAGTTAAATATGAAATTGCTGAATTTGAGGGTTGTTAATGCAGGAATATTAATATTCAAAGATGTGAATTTTAAAACTCAGGAAGTAGAGGGACATTAGTAAAACTTGATGATGACAGCAAAATGCCAATTTGTGGTTCAGGGACCATGGCTTTCTGGTTACCATTAACTTGCATATCAAATTAATATTTAGGATTGAGTCTCTAATTATGACCATGGAAACCTCTTGAGGAAGGGGATCCTGAGGAGGTGACAATCTGCCCCAGTTCCCTAGGTAGGGATGGGGTGGGGGGCCTTTCTCTGGGCTGGGCCTGCCTCCTTCATTGGTTTGGAAACTCCAGGGGTAGTTGAGCCTACACTTCCTCACCCTTTCATCTGGAAATTACCTTCTTGCTTCTGGGACACTCTCCCCCCTCACAGGTACCCGTGGGGTTTTATTATTATTTTTATACAGTTAATGCTTATTGTAGAAAACGCTGACCAGCACAGAAGCAAACACAAGGAATAGCAGAAATTCTTTTACCTGGACTGTCTTAGTCATCTGGTGCTGCTCCAACAGAAATACCACAGCAGATGGCTTTACAAAGAGAAGTTTATTCTCTCACAGTCCAGTAGGCTACAAGTCCAAATTCAGGGCATCAGCTCCAGGGGGAGGCTTTCTCTCTGTCGGCTCTAGAGAAAGGTCCTCGTGATGCATAGTCTTCCTTTGGTCTGAGAGCTTCTCTGCGCAGGAACCTCAGGTCCAAAGAATGCGCTGTGCTCCCAGCGCTGCGTTCTTGATGGTATGAGGTTCCCATATGTCTCTGCTCACTTCTGTCTTTTATATCTCAAAAGGGATTGCATTAAGACAATAATCTTGTCCACTTCATCAGTATAACCTCATCACGGTGATAGAATTTATAACACATAAGGAGATCACATATAATGTCATCATAGTGATAGAGTTTACAACGCTTAAGGAAATCACGTCAGATTACACAATCATGACCCATCCAA